GGAAATGCTTATCTCCCCGAGCGCAGCCTTCACCAAACCATTCCATCACAGTAAACCAGGGTTAAGCAAAGCTATTTGAATCAGCTCTAAGGGCAGCAGACTTTTTATAAAAGCCAGTCTTGACTTTCAGATTTTTGAACGTTGGCCATCACCGGAACAAGTATCAGTCCTGCAAGAGCCGTCTGCCTTTGGCTAGCATGGATGAGAATGCAATGGATGCCAATATGGGTGAACTGCTGGATATGTATTCTGGACAGAACCAGCACTCTCCTAACCCAGACGGTGGCAAGAAGCCAGACATGGAGGAGTTGCTCAATCTTTGCTCTGGAAAATTTCCATCTCAGGGTGAGTTGGTGTCTTCTCTGAAAAGCACAGGAGATCTGATTGGTGTATCTGAGAAGTAGTTCCATTTGTCTTCAGCAGGCTTTGTGCTAAATCCTGCCCCCACCATTTGTGCTGGGTCAACCAAAATGCAGGCAGACCAAGCAAGGGAAGGCGATGAATGGAACTCCTACATTTCTGAGCCCTGCATGAGAATTATATTTGGCCCCTGGGCCAGGCTGGTTCTTACCTCAGGTGCCAACTGGGCAATGCCGTACTCAAGAAGGTTTGCTGGTTCCAGAGCAACAGCCATTTTAGAAGTTGAATAATTAATAATGGAAGTACTTAACGTTACCTGTTAGCATCATTTTTTCCAGCCGACTGAACTGAGAGTGCTTAACCTCTTTGCTCTTCTATTCCAAGGGTTTTCAGTCTTTTTTTTCCACAAAACCTGTTCGTTAAATAAATAAATAAATCTGAGAACCTTGCTACTTGGCTGTCAGATGCACATAATGAGTCGTCATAAGCACAAATATCCTTGGGAAGGGGGTGGGGCTTCTGAATGTCAGCTAACAAACCCCGCCTTTTCTGTTGTACTTTAGAAATAATGCTGTTGGCATCCCTGGTTGTATTCAAGCAAACATCTCTCCCCCCACCCCCCAGTCTCTCATGGAGCCCCATCAAGTTCTCTCAGAACTCTAGGATTCCACATCACTCAGTCTAAAAAGCCCTGCTCTATTCTATGGGAAACCAGTTTCTTTTAGAGTAACTAGCCTAGTACTGGGCAATTTTTGGGTGGCCAAAGCCCATCCTTGGCATTTGAGGAGGGGCAAGAACTTCAGTAGATTGGACAGTGGTGTGAAGTGAGTGGGGCCACATTATGCCCATGGGCAGGGTTGGCCTTTTCTCTGGGGGAGTTATGTTTTTTGTTTGTTTAACTGTTTAGCTTCTTTTAGGATTTATATCAGTCTTTGGTGGGTCTCCTACATTAAAATATGCTGCTAATTTTTGACACGGCGGTCAGAAAGGAATTCAGAGACCATGATAGAATGATTCAGGGGCTAGATGTTGTCTGTGCCTGGGGTAGCACAAAGTTGTCCCTGTCCTACTTAGCATAACAGAAGAAGCAAAACTTGGAATAGCTGGATTACACTCAGATCTGCAGTTAGATCCTGTTCTAAAGACCTCTCCTTTCTGGCTTCTCAGGTTCTCCCTTTCAAGTGTCTTCAGCAACTTCTCAACTGAAAAAGAAGAGTAGTACTGATGTCCCCGTGGCTGAGCCCCTCCCTCTTTTCTCTAACTCCTTTTCAACTGAGAGGTAAGGCTTGGAGACATGCAAAATACTTAGCTTTCCAAACTATCCTTGGGGAGGGTGGTATAAAAGGGGGCTTCTGCAGTTCAAGTAATAAGATGGTGGTTAGTGAGGCATGTGTATATTAAGTGCTTCAGGTTCTGGATTGAGAAGAAAAACCTTTCTGATCAGGTGAAATTTTCTTACCTCTGAACTTCACAGCTTTTAAGCAGGACTGAATTCCTTTTGTGCCAGATCATGGACACGGGGTAGCATTTTTGTTCTCTTAATGCTCATCTTTTTACCGGAAGGAAGATTAAGAAAATTAGCTTTAACTGGTCTACAGCAATGAAAAGGTGTGGAGCGCTATCATGTCAACCTCTGAGTTTTGGCCTTGAATAGGTCTTCCCGTTATGCTCATCACACCCAGGGTATGCATACTCTCACTCTTTCTGTTCTGAATAGTCTAGAAAGCCAGGATGTCGTAAGGAACTTGATTTGGACAAACAAACTAAAGCTCAGTCAAGACAAGACAGAATTCTTGTTGGTCAACAGAGAAGCCAACTTGTGCTTGGGAATGCAATCTATTCTAGATAGGTAGCACTGGATGTGTGCTTTGCAGGTGCTTTGGGATCGAGCCCTGCTCTTGGAAGATCAGGTGGCCACAAGTTCCTTTGCCTAGTTTAATGCTTCCCATGGAAGGCAGATTTTGCCTCAGTTGTCTATGCCTTCATAAGATTTTTGCTTGTATTGCTATAAAACATCCTTACCTGTTTTGGGGAACTGCGTATGGAAAATGTATGTTAGTGGAATGCATTGTATAGACTGCATTATGGATGTTTAATCAACAGCACTGACTTCCAGTTTATTTCAAAGCCTACTTCAAGAAGCTGGTTTTACCAATAAACACCTATACAATTTTAGGCCAGGAACACCTTCCTCCTGGATCTGTCCATGTTCTGCAGCCATTATCAGAGCCCTGTTGTGATGGCTCCTATAGAATTAGACATGGCCTTTTCAGTAGTAGCATCCTAATTCTGGAATTCCCCCTCTCTTTTTTATGCTTTATTTATTTTATTAATCACAGTTATATGGCAGCCCATCTTGCCAAAAGTGACTCTGGGTGGCGTACAACAATCAATAAAACAACAAATAAATTTAAATACAAATACATAAAAACAGTCATAAAAATATAAAATTAAATGCTTTTCTCCTGTCTTTTTTATGTATATATATTTTTGTGATAAAGGCTCCAGGTTTAATTTTTACTGTGTTATCATTATTTGAATTCCAGTTTTTATTTCTTTCTATTTGAATTTGAATTTTGCATATTTCCTTGAACTCCCATTGAGTGGAATACCAATTTAAAACTATGTCAGATAAAAATGACTACACCCAATAATTGTTTATTTTCCATGTTATCAGGTCAGAGCATATAGCAATTAAACTGGCATATCCAATTAGCTACATTCCTACTGCTTTTTCTTTTAAAAAATCTCTTTTTCAAGCAGGGAGATGGAAAATGAAGAGGAAGAAGAGGAATTTGGAGACTTCCAGCTTTTAACAGATGATCACGCCTTTGACAGTGAGGAAGTAAGTACTATGCACAATTTGAGCAATATCCAAATGGAGCATAAAGCATGCACGCCAACCAATCCTTAAACATGGTTTCCAGGCCTAACTTGGCAGCAATTGCAACAGCATTCTGTTCAGCTGGTCAATTCAAATCCTCAGGCAAAATAGAAGGTAATGGGCAGGATATCTGTTTCTCAAACTAAAATTTTGCACTAAGCAACTTTATTCTGCAATAGGTATAATTTAAAGTAAATGTTCATTATTCTCTCTTATTTTGCATACTTTATCATCCCTTTGGTTGTTTTGGAAAAGAGCTATACAGCAAATTGGAAGCTTACCCACTCACTGCCATGTTCTGCCACTTGTTTGATATCTTTGAGATTTCAACAGATAACTCTCATGTTTCTGAGCATCCTTAAAACCTAGGCATGTGCTCTCTTTTTTTTCTCCTAACAAAACCTTTGATGAAATTACTCTGGGTTGCTAGTCTCGGCATTTCTTTTTCTTTTCCTCCCAGTTAATGTAATCATAGTCTTCCTAATGGAAAACTTTGTCTTAAAGAAAAGAACAAATAGAGGTGGTGGAGAATACTAAAGGATATAATACGATCCTTCAAGCATTCATGAACTTGATACTTTTCTGCATTAATAGGATGAAAACAGCAAGGAGGAGGAGGAGGAGGAAGACAGTGATCAGGAAGAAGAAGGAGATGATGAGTTAGAATTTGATGATGAAGAAGAAGAACTGAAGCAAAGAGAAGGAAGGAAGAATAAATTGTAAGTAATACCTTCTAACCTTACTGGCAAAGTGGACCTTGATTTAATCTTCTTGTAAAATAAATATTTTATAGCTTTTTAAAAAGCAGAATGAAACTGTGTAAAACCAAATGGAAAAAATAGGTTGAAGTATGTTGGCCAGAAGACTTTTCAGAAACAGCTTGTCTGAGAAGCTTATTAAACTTTATGCAGAAGGAACAAGGAACTGATGTTTCAATTAAAGTTTTATTGTGGCAGCCCAACTATAGCTTAGCTTGGACTTTCCTTCCAACCTTCCATTTGCCTTCCTATATTTCACTGACTTAGAAATGTGTTCTCCACCTATGAACCTCAGCGCAACTCTTGCATTGCTCAGTTTAAGTATTTTCTAATAGCAGGGCTGAAAGAAGAGACTCTCTACTGGAGATCCTTGCCAGATTGTTGTTTACGTTCATTCACTCCAATAGTAAACAGTATTGCTTTAATACCTTTTGAACTCAACTTGCATTCTTCTTCCCCCCGCCCTTTCAGCAATTTGCAAGATTTCATGGAAGATGAGGCTGAGCTGTCAGGGAGCGAAGAGGGGAGCGAAGATGAATATGATGGTGAGGAACTCAATGAATATGAGGAAGAAATTCTTGATGAGGTCCTCCCAGTGGATGCGGAACTTCATGATCAAGTCAATAAAATACATATGTAAGTATCTGGCTATATACCAGCGTAAGTATCTGTGGTTGTGCTTCAGTTTTTGTGGAGGTCTTCTGAATGAAAACTAGTCAAGTTCCCTTTTCTGGCATCCCTCCTCTCCAGGAAGATGATGCTCGATGATGACAAACGGCAGTTGCGCTTGTATCAGGAGAGGTACCTTGTTGATGGAGACCTTCACAGTGATGGCCCTGGGAGGATGAGGAAGTTCCGATGGAAGAACATAGGTACGATGAGTAGTATGTTGATGTTCATCAAGTTTAGATAAACTTGATAACATGGATATGCTGTATTCACAGGTTTTGTAGTCCTAGGCTAACAGAAATCCCAGAGGCTCTAGGAGGCCATGAAAATACGGCCTGGTATGTTTAGTTTAGAGCCATCTAGATGTGTTGGGACTACAGCTCCCAGAATTCTGAAACTGGGAGTTCTAGAAATAGTGATCTGAACACATCTGGAAGACTATTTTGGAGAAGGCTGGCTTAAGTACAAATTAATTAGGTCTTCTGAATAAGAGAAAGGAGATGCTACAAGTTATGATTGCTAATTTGGATTCTCACATTGTGCTAAGTAATAGTATATATTAACCTGAATACTATTTTTTTCCAAATGTGAAACATTGTTTTGGTAAAGGCGTTATTAATTTTGTTATCTTTTCAAAATTCCTAGGTTGAAAAAGTATATAATTTTTTTAAAGCTGTCAGGTTCTAATATCTCTATATGTCCACTGCTTAGTCGGGTCTTCTATTGTAAATGGCATCAGATGAGTTAATTGTGCTGCTTGATAATAGATTTTTAATTTGAGACCCCCCAGCCTCCCTGTTGCTGTGGCTGATATAAAATCCATCTATTGATTCTTGATTTCTAATCCTCTTCTGCCATGCCGTTAATGTTTTATCTGAAATTTCTAATGGAAGCTAGAAGTTAAGTTTTGAAAGGAGCTTCATTTTAACAGCTCCTACCTGGCCTAAAATATTGAAACGTTTTTTAGTCCAGCTTTTCATTTCTTTTCATTTCTCATCAACCATATTAAGAAATAGGGCCCAAATTTAAATTTCTTTAACACCTGCTTTAAAAAAGTCCCCTCCGGAGAATTGTATGCCTTAAATATATCCAATGAACGTATAGCTAACAGTTATACAGTGGTACCTCGGGATACGAACTTAATGCGTTCCGTGACTCTGGGCGTACCCAGAGTTGGTCGTAACCCGACACAAATTTCCCCATAGGGTTCAATGTAAATC